CCTTCTCTATTTGTGAACAGCAGGTCCAGCATGACTACTCGAAAAAAGCAGCTGTGCTTCCTGCCCTAGACTGAGTTCGTCCTCCACAAGCTGCAGTTGCAACGACACAAATCCCATGACTGGGCACCACATCCACCTCCCTATGGCTACTTTGGGCAAGATGCTCTTGATCACACTTCCAAAATAAAAACATCTTACGTAGACCGAGTGCTGGACATCCAGGGCCGCAGCACAAGGGCTCACTGAAGCCTCAGGCAGATTCTCTTATTAATCTTACATGCTTTACCTGCTGGCTAGCAAGACTGTAGCCAAAATATAAATCAAACTGGTGCCTGTTTGCTTTTTAAAGAATCCTGACATCATGTAGGTGGAAACCATCCTGTTTCCTAATGCCATTATTCTTAGAACAGCTAATTATTCTTAGATTTCTTTATCTGGCTTTATCTTGTTCACCCTTTATTTCCCCTGAATAGTATCTTAGGCACTGTCATCCTTTTCTCCACAGCCCACTTATGACTTAAACCAGCTTACTCTAAGACAAATACATCATTTCACAGTTAACAGCATGGCCTACAAGACTCACATCTTACAAGATGACTATTTCAGAAATTTTTAAGAGATTAAGAAAACATCCTTTGCTTTCTACTTTTCTCTATGGCTCAGCAAGCAGAGAAATCTATAATGTAATTAAGGAAGTCATAAGCAATTGTGCACCTGTACTGGAGGAAGAAGAAACTGATCTACCATTCCAAGAAAGGGGAGGATTTCCACACCAAATGTGCTTAGCCACGTACAATGACAAACATAGCATTCTTAAGGTAAGCAGAGTGCTATCGTTTTGGCAAGAGAAAATCCAGTACAGAAATCCACCAAGCTGGGCAAACCCAAGGCTTCCCCTATGCAGAGCTACAAAACAAAACAGTCTACAGCGCTGGACTGACGCAAGTCAAGGATCCAGGTAAGTGGTCTCAGAAATTAATCACACGTTTACCTACCAGCTGGATTTTAAATCCTGGATTCATCCTTATTCAGCTGTAAATCACTCCTGGGATCTGGCAGTTAGCTTTTTTTAAAATTCCCAATTAAAATCAGTGGAATGCAAACATGTCCTCCAGAACTGAATTCTTATTTAACAAATATTTGATCTTGAATTGACTGCCAGAGATTTCTGAAGGCAGATAGAGGAAAGCTTTAAAAATACATTGGGAAATTTTGCTGATGGTAAATTTCAGCTTTCTATGGCCTTTGCATTTAGGAACAATTAAAAGGTGATGAGAACCATCCACTCCATTCACATGCTCTAAAATCTGAAAAGAGACAGGCAGCTCAGACTTACTTCCCACATTGCTGTCCAAGACTTGCAGTACTAGTGACAGGATTTTGGAGAGATTGCAATGGCCACCTGTGGTGAGACTGGGGGAGGAGACCCCCCAATAACTGTTCTGAAGTGTGATCCAGATTCTGGAGCAGAGTCCTACTTCTCTCACGGCAAGGCATCTACCAAACCTTTCTTTCCAATGCATTCATATCAGAACTACTGAGAAGTTAGAATAATTGAATTCTCACTAAATTTTACATATAGTAAAAATATTTGGATAATTTGCTTTCAAATAGATTTCAATCAATAAACATTACTTTCATTGCAGTGAACAGACTTACTGCAATACCCGACTCAGCTGACATTTCAGTGATTTTTAAATTCATTTATATGCATTGTAAACTTATGTGGTAGGTAAATTAATGTAATTCCTATAAATACATCTGGGAAAACTTTGCAATACAGTGAAAAATTCTCTTGAGAATTACTTCAGCCATTAGGGTTGATGTTGTAAGCGAGTAAGAAAGGTAATTGCTACTGGTAATGTATTTTACTTTGCGTGTTCTATAAGAGCATTCTTATATAACCAAATACAAAAAGGCAGTGACAGCGTATCCAGCCCTCTCTTGTCTTCTCTTCCATCAAAATGGTCTACCAGTTTTTGTTGCTAACCTGTGGCACAGTGATTTCTAAAGGCAATACATTCAAGACGGGATGCACAAAGGCATTAAAATTTTTATGTTAAGAGCAGAGAAGAAAGAACAACGAGAAAGCTTATGAAAGTGATAAATACCATCTTTAACAGATTGATAAAAAGCCATAAAGTGCAAAAGTCTTTCAAGGAGACTGTACCTTTTACTTATAGCAGAAATCTATGTTTTTGACATCAATATTAAATTTTAACAAAGTCAATAACATGCTGGCACAGGCAGCAGGAGACAATACTCTATGCAGGTTTCAAAAAATATTAGTATTTAGATAAAAAATTCAGACATTCCTTTCTTGAAGGCAAACTCAAGACTAGCACAAATTCCCACTACAACCAAGGACCATGTAAGCATGCGTCACTCTTCTTCAACCTTACAGCCATCAGTACGCAGGATCAAACTTGCTGACTCAGTACAAAGACAAAATTTTATTACTCTGGTTTAAAAACAGGGCAAGATCATACCACTACCAAAATTGTACTTCAGATTATCTTTAGGATGAAGCTTAGTGTGCTGGAATTTAAAAGAAAAGAAGAAAAAAATAAATAAAAAGGAAAACACAAGAGCTGCTTCTCATCTTTGTCTTTTAGAAGGACTCCTGCTATGACAGACATAGAAGTCCCAACTTACCACAGCAAAAGAAATGAAAAAAACTCCTACAAAATGAATGCCTTTCCCCATTTTCCAGCATGTCTTTGTTTCATTATATCTCTCTTGCACTCTGTACTACCAAAGGCCAAGAAACTTCTGTCTGGCTGCCTGTCTAGACTACGCCTAATCTCATGCTCCACAAACATACCCCAGTGAGCTCTGAACCCATCACATCCCAGAGTGCTTGCCCTCACATGGCACTCACTCTGCTAATGACCATGGCTGCTCCACGTAAGCAGAACAAGGTCTAGATAAATCTGCACTACACTGTGTGGTTCATTACAAAAGTATCCTAAAACCAGCAGTAAACACATCTAAATAACAGCATCCTTATAGTGCATTCTCAGATTGTCATAATGCTTTATGTATCTGCTAGGAATTATAATAATGAGCAGTGGTTAAAATGGTAGCTTTAATAATTAGCTTGCATATTTAGAAGAAACCTTATCAGGATAGCAAGAACTGAGCAGGGCTAAAATCAAGAGTTATTTTGAATATTACTGCAGACATTAAGAGAAAAGCCTGCTGTAATTGCTTTGTACTTGATAGCATGAGCAGGCAGTAATACTATGTCAATTTCCCCATTCTTAATTGTATTTCTTCATGTTTTTCAGACTGCACCTGGGTGTTTTTCTCTTGTCAGAGCATAGTCTGAACACTCTCTTGAGGGCAAAGAGCACATTATTAAAAGCACATTTGGCACATACTAGTATTTAGTAAGGTCTCACTTATTCTCTTTGAAGAATATGGTCAGAGGTCTTTAGATCCAATGCACTGTATCTATGTGCATTAATAACAGGGTATTACATTAACTGTGCCTCACAATGTGTAGCGTAGATAAACACACATGTAATCACACCTTGAAAGACTAGTTTCACCTTCAGCTCTTCCAGTCTAGATAAACAGACTTCACACTCTGAGGAGATGCTCGTATTGATTGCTGCTATTTGAGTAGGAGGCAGACTATTTGTTTAAATGACGTTTTGTCATCCAAGAGCCTAGAAAAAAAGTCTTTGGTGAAGGTCAGCAATTGCTTATGACAGGTAAAAAAATTACACCCTTCTCTGCACAAAGTTGTCTATATTGGAAAGGCTAATTCAATCACCTGCAATGACATTACTTGATATTCATCTGACATGCATTATTTTGCAAAAAAAAAATCCTCATTTACTGAAAAAATTAGAAAGGTTTAGTTGTCTCAAAGATTACAAAATCTCATTTTAGTCTTTTCCTTATAGCAAAGTCAAGAGGGTATTTTATTTCACTTTCTTTGCACATAATAAAATATATTTTTTAAATACAACAAACTATTTGCCAAGCTTTAAGTATGTATACATAATTTTTCATTTTCATAGCAAGGCATTTCACCTGGCTATATTTATAAAGGAAAACCAATTTAAATATCACATTCCCATTTGAAATTTGGGCTTGATAACTGCAAATAAAAAAATAAAAAGCATTTCTGCTTTTTCCAGCTTTACTCTGCATTTGACAGAGCACTAGGGATGCCAGTTGCATAGTCTGAATTGCCTCTTTCACCTCATCTTATGATACTCCAAAATTATTTTGAATAAGTCTTTCTCCAGACTGTGCCAGAGAGGCCAAGAGCAGAAGGCAAGTTAAAGCTGAAAAAAAAGCAGGCATGCAAGAAAATGGAGAAGAGGGAAAACAAAACACAGTCAATGCATGTTTTGTGCTGCTGCTTTGACAACTACTAGTTGAAACATCATCACCAACATCATCAGCAGAAACAAAACTCTCCTAATCCAGCCACACAATACACTTTAAATTCATTGTGCACATGAAATGCAAGGGGTGCTCTACAAAACCAGTGAATTTTAAATGCATTAATATGAGAACAGGACAAAAAGTATCTTTATGATATTTATTTTTACAAATTGCACAGCAGTATAGCATAGCCAAGACTCAGCTACATTGTCCCAATGCAGAAGAGTATTCAGAAACTGAAGTACAATAAAGTGAAAAGACATTATTTTATTTATGAAAGACTTACCTAATAATTTACCAACATAATTTTTCATGTTTTCTGAACATATTAGAAACTTAATCAAATGCCAACAGACATTCTGCAGTTAAGAAAAAGGGTGGAAAACACTTCAGGGAAGGAATATAGTCAGAAAATTTCATACAATCGGCAAGCGGATGTGGGGCATCATATCACAATGCAGCATCTCTTATCTCTCAAAAGGCAGAAAAGTCAACTCAATGCACTTAGAACTACACCCTGACAGAATCTATTATTCTCCAGATCTGTACTTTGCATCTCCAATATTTTCCAGCTTTAAGCATGACTTGAAGGTTAAAAACTGTCCTTTCTTTCATCTCCAGGTTCACACATACGTTTCCATTTTTGTAGTTCCTGAGGATCACTTATCTTCCATACTTCAGCAAAGGACTTCAGCTTTTTTCTGAAGGGGGACAAAAAAGTTCAATCAAAATACAGACACATTTTTAAGTTAAGCACATCAAATCTTGAAAGCCCTATAGTCATCTGCAAAAATTTACACAGTCTATACAGCAGTTTGCATAGCTCGAAATGTGTGATCTTTAAACAATCACTTAACATTTCCCAATATATGTATTCCAGCTCTAGGCCAGTCAACAGTCTAGGACAGTTAATTTTATAACTAACTAGTAGTATGAGAAACACTGACAAGACAAAATAAAACACTGAGCAAAAGTAAATCATTAAAGGAAATAAATAGTACTGTAGTTTGCACCATTTAATTTTCAGCAGGTCCTATAAATTTGCACTTGCAGAATCATAAAGAGGTAACGCACTTTCAAAATAAATGAGTACACGCATCCTTCTTATTTTCACTTTAATATTTTCCAATTTAAGAAAGGCTCATAAGAGCTGTGACAAATAACAAGAAGACATTTAAAATGGGTTAACACACATTCCTGACAACAAAGATGTCAAGACTGGATGGAATTACCCAGTGGATTTTCTTAAATAATATGAAAGTGATGAAAAAAATAAGACAAGGCAGCTGGCCTGTGGGTATTGTGACAGCAGAAGTATACTGCTATGAACAGGTCCGAGTTTGATTCCCAAGATCATTATAATTTTTATTTCCTACTGCAGATACACCATACGCATTTTAAAATTTGTTAATGTGTCTTTTAGGAAGAAGGAATAGGAGGACACTTTGACATTTAGACCACATCATGACAAGAAGTAAAAATAAAAGGAATATACAAAAGAAAATATTTCTATAATGTCCTGGAAATATTAAGAATTGCATAATACAATAATTTATGCACTGTGAAATCATCAGACACATTTGATATTTTTTTTTTAGCTGCCTTGAGCTCTGGGTTTATACAGATGCTGGAAGTTCCCTCCAAAGTGCATGTAAGAGGTACACAATGAAGGAATAATCTGGTACAAGTCAAGCCTGATGAATTAACAACTGCTGTGTGTTGGATGTCCCTTGTCCTGGACCCCCCTACACAGCACTGTCTCCCATTAAAAGGAGATGTGAAAGTGTCAAACTTCAGACGGGGTAGGCTGGTCTGGCAGGCAGGGCCAATGTCTCAAGGCTACCTTTACTCTACAACTGCTACCAGAATCAAAGGCCTCTTCTCCCACCCTTTCCTTCTTCATGTAGTAGTGCCTGTCCACATGTAACATCACGAAACTGAACGTGCATGTTATCAATTGGAAAAAGACAGACTTTTCAGCTGGATCAGATCCCTGACCTGGCCTGTTCTGTAGTCATGCAAAACCAGCCCTGGCACCATGGAGAAAATGTCAGGGAGCAACCCCTCCAGGAGCAGCCTGGGGAGGGGGCTTTGGGGAGGCCGCTCCCTCTGGTCACTCCCAGGTACCTGTGCTGCTGCAGCTCAGGGGGCAGCACTTCGCCCTGGAGTGTGGGGTGTAGGGGCCTCCAGCCTTACTGATTATGAGGATAAAGCATTCGTCACAGCTTTAGATTAAGTATTTTTCTTTTCACTTTAAGGATAAAAGCAAATTATATACCAAAAGCCAAAATACAGGTGGTAGCTTACATATGCAAAAGTTGATAAATGGGACACAATTCAGTTCCATAATTAAAACTGCCCATCAGCCCTCTCTCTAACCCTCTATGGGCACTGCAAATCAGTCTAACTACTACATCACATACTATTGTTAATGCTTATAGATTTTGTATGTAATTAACTCTTTTTTTTAGCAATAGAGACATGCTAGAACTCTATTTGTGCCCTATCCAAGTTATATGTAAGTAATATGTGATTTTCATAGAACAAAGGAAGATAAACCAAAGGGACATATTACATTATTTCACATCTTAATTTTATTACACAGTAACTTTGCCTTTCCATCTCATACTCTTACTTTTCTGAACAACAATTTTTTCTTTATTTTAGAACCCTATGTATCCTATAACAACAGAGTTAAGATATTGTCATTTGTGTATAACTTTTGTCATTTATTCACAATTATTTCCATTTAACATAAACTACCACATTATTTTTCTCATAACCTGTCATGTCTCTTCAATAGAATGCTTATATTTTGCTGTCTTAGAAGGGTATAAAAACTGGCAAAAAGCAATAGCGCTTTGTTAAGTTACATGAAGCAACTTCGTTAAGTTTCAAAATAACCGCTCGCATCTACAAATAATTAGTACTTAAAATTTTCTCATATGAAATTATTCTGTCAGGATTAGTTATAACCATCAGACAACAAAGATCTTGATTTATATTATTCCTAAAGGGCTATCTGAATTTTTCTGATAGGATTGCCACTGAAAATAATAACAAAAAATTCAGTGAAAATGAATATGAATACTAGCACATATCTATATCTCAACTGTGTACATAATATTACAGGTTTTATAGAGATGATGCTATTTGAGACACATGTGAATTTTCAAAACTAGTTTAATACATAAGGAAAGAATGCCCCTAAAAGTAAATTGATCATCTGAAAAATATTAAAACCCACAGACATTCAGTGAACTTTTGTGTGTTTGTGGGCAATCAAAATAATATATTACAAATATTTTTAAGTTATATAAGAATAATACCTGCTTTCCTCTTCTGCACAATAGTATGCAAATACAATTTCAAGTTCCAAAGAGAATAATATACTTTCTAAATTAAATCTATTATTATTTTCACTATCACTGGTGAGAACAGACGTAGGCATTAAAGAAGAGCTATATTTCTCTTAATAATGAGTTGTCTTCCTGAGAAGAAAGAAAGTACATACCTGATCGAATAAATTCGCTAGTATTTGTCATAAGAAAATAAAAAATAATTTATTACTAATGTTAGCTCAATTTGCATTTTTTTTTCCACTCTTGTTTCAGAAGGCTGCAATTAACCTCTGACATAATAACTAATTATAAAATCTAAAGCTTTGATTGAAACAGAGAGCACAATTTCCTAAGTATTTTTTTCAAAGTTTTGTTTCACTGTCTCTTCCCTGAAGGGTAGGAGGATATCTGAAGCACCTCTTACTGTTCTTTTTAATGTACATGTCCATTTTACGTACGTGAAATGCTCTTCAATTCATAGCTGAACTTTCACAAGGGGGGAAAAAAAAAAATCACAATTGTTCTGACCTTTTCGTATTCACTATTCCCTCCAACTCCTTTGATTTGTGAGCTGCCTTCTTCAAGATTTCTTCAGGAATATCTGCCAGTTTGGCAACATTAAGTCCATAGCTCCTTGCAGAGACTCCTTTAGTTATTTGATAAAGAAAAGTGATAAATTCAGGATTCTCTTCATCTTCAGATCCTAAAAAAAAATAAAACTAAAATCATCATCTCCTGTGGTAATAAAATGTAGTAGGTCAAATTCTGAAATGGCAAATACTGTGGTCTCATTATCATTGATCTTCCTGAGTGATTTAATCCATTGAAGAAATACGAAAGAAAAATGTTTCCTTGAGACCATACATTTTACCTACCCATTGTGAGACTGAAAAAACTCTTTACTATGCTTTTACCTGGTGTCTTTTTAAGCAGACTTCTGTGTGCGCATGCGTAAAACATAGAATATTTGTTTGTCAAATAGATTAGTTATGCTGTAATTGAGATACTGCATCTCACATTTGCTAAGCAATGACAGAATAAGTGTCAGTAATCTCACAATTAAGAAGTCTATTAACTACTGCACAACAAAAAGTTTTCTGCCTGCTAGGAAGCTAGGAGCCATGGAAAATGCTTAGGAAAAAACAAAGCTTAGGATGGTGGATCTTCTGCTAGGGATTCTTTCTATTTCATGACAAGACGACTATGGTACTACACCTATTGTGCTTTCTGTAGCAAAACAGTGAAGACTGGGTATGGCCTGAAGGTTCAGGTCAACTAACATTGAAAGTAGAAATGCTGAAGCAGCACACTGAAATACAGAATATAGGGTTTCACGGACACAACCGTTAAGGAATAGTAAGTATTGATTGCAGATAACATCTCAATTGCCTGAGAATATCAGAGGTCAACAGTTCAATTAATGAACTTTATGAGAAAAGGACATGCTGATGCTCTGGAGAGTGATGCTCTTAACCAGGGTCATCAGTGTAGCTAGACAGTGCTCACCTAAATACAACATTACTTTGAACTACCTGTGCCGAAAGTTAACAAATATTTCAGAGATCCCTGCTTCTAATATTAAACAGAATACAAAAGCCAAAGTCTCACTTGAGGAAAAGCCTAAATTTTAAAACTAACTCCCCAAAAAACATTTAAAAAGTGATATTTACTTAAATACAGTATTAAGTGGCAAATACTAAAGTTCCCTGTCTCAATTAGTTTACAATGTGAACAGGAAATACAATATTAAAATAGAATTAGGGGGAAGGTTAATGGTAAATACCATGCCAATTCTTAAAAATAGTATAGGAATGATTCAGGGAACAGGCCATTACTAGGCAAAGTGGGAAAACCAGAATAAGAGCAGAATTGCCAAGACTCTGATTAAATCTGATACATTAACAAAAAGGAAAAAAAAAAATCAAAGCAGTTTGTATGGAGGGAAATCCTGCATCATAAATCTGCTGTAAGTCTGGAAGCCACATGAGTAAGAGAGATCCAGTGGATAAACCCTATGGGGATTTTCAAAAGCCTTTTGACAAGAGTCATTCATTAAATGCTCATCTGAAAACTAAGCAGCCATAATCTAAAAGGAGGGCCTTTGCATTTCTAAATAATTGGTTAAGAGATAGAAAACAGACAGCAGGAGTCAGTTCTCAACATGAAGGGTGATCATCACTGCGGATAAACAGACCTGCTCAACATACCCATTACCAAACAAGAAAAAAAGCCAAGCAGTAAGCTGACAAACATTACTGAAAATGCTAACTAATTCTGAGCAACAGTGACAAAAAGAAGAAATGCTGTAACTCTTCTGCTTGGTAAAACAAGAATTGAATAGGATTATAATAAGCAATCTACAAAATTATGCATGACAGAAAGGATGAACAGAGATTCTTCTTCTGCCTCTTCTAATTCAAGAACTGGGACTATCAAGTGAAGGCACATGTCTCAAAAGGGTTTCAAAACAAACAAGACGAGGTGGATTGTCACACAACGCAGTATTAAATTTTGGAGCCCCTTGACACAGTAGAATGAAGATGCTAAAAGTGCACAAGGATGCTCAGGGAAACTAGACAACTTCATTGAAATTAAGTCCACTGAAGATACTAAAAACAGAAAACACATCTAGCTCTTGAAGCCCCCTAAATAGCAAATGTTTGCAGGCAGTGAGATCTTTTAGAGAAAGAACTGCCATATGTTTGATCCCTAATCCCTGCTCCCTAATCCTTTGGCTACTCTGAAAAGCTGGATACTGTGCTTGGTGAATCTTCTATCTGATCTAGCTCAGTCATCCTTATATTAAAGAGAAATGGTTGTTTATATTTCAAGATCCCCCAGATGTGTGTATAGGTCGATACTCTAGTGAGTTTGGATGTATCACTTTCATGTTGAGGTTCATATTACCATAACAATTTTACAATTTATGCCTATACCTATAGTGTCAATATCTCAGATGGCTTTGTACTGTACCTTTTTGTTCAGCACTTTCCTCCTCATTCACTAAGAAAGCCATGTGGTAATTACCAACTTTTTCTGGGTATACCTTCTCTAGCTCACAAACTGAGGGGTAGTGAGTGACAAACAGTGTCAGTGACTCCACCTACAACAACAAAATAGAGACATAAGAAGGTTTGACTTTAAATCTTTTTTAAACACAGCAACATAGAACTGGTATCGTTTACTTATATCCCGATGCTCTGAGTTTAGACATGCACCATTTCTAAAGGAAATACATGATGTAAGAGTCAGCCTACCATAGTACAGGCTGAAAAAGCATGCACAAGTATGTGTTAAATTGAACACTTACATCTCTAATAAAATGCTCCAGTGTAGCATAAGCAATAGCAATTCCATCATGTGTGCTAGTTCCTCTTCCCAATTCATCCAGAATTACCAGTGATCTTGAAGTTGCTTTTCTTATTATCTCAGCAGTATCAGTTAGTTCTTCCATAAAAGTACTTCGGCCTTTGTAAATATTGTCTGCTGCACCCATTCTGCATTGGGATACAAAACAGATCAATTTATTAAGTTCAAATAAATGCCAGGTAATGCTGAAAACAAGTGATGATAATGAAACCATTTTGTTATAAATCTCTTGTTGCTGGCTCCAAGCAGAGAAAACTAACCAACCCAGGCAGAACATTAACCTTCCAGAATGAGCTACTCCTTAGGAAAAAAAGCAAGAACAGCACATAGCACAGATGTAAGGGAACTCTAAAAGACTGAAAGGTCCAGACAGAACTACTCATGTACCATTAAATAAGGGCTTCCATGCATCTCCCAGGACAACAAGGTATACTGACCCTATGGGTGTCTGAGGGAGGTTAGGCTGTAGGGACAGCAGAGAATTTTTTTGGGCCATCAGTAATCTAGTTCAAATGTACATCCATAGACAAAAATCTCAGCATCCCATGTCAACTACAGGAATCGGGGGAAAACAAAGAGGTAGACAAGGGGATATTGTTTAGCATGCAATTCTTCTACCTTTACAAACAGCACAAGGCCACCTGCTCTTCCTTAAAAAGGATCCTGGGAATTCAGACCACAGGGAGGATTCCCACAAATGTAGCTACGAAAATGAATTTTACCTTTTTTAGTTTAGTCCAATCATTTAATTTCTGTGTTTTTTAAATGCTAATAGCACCTGAAAGTATCAGATACTAGCATTTCCACGTAGAATGGACATTCACGTGACCCAGTATTTGCGCAGCCACTGAGATACAGCAGTTAGTTCCTTCAGGCAGTTAACAAAATAGCAATTATTTCCCCTAATTACATAGGTACACTTACTAGCATGCTTAAACATGATTTTAAGGGAACAATTTATCTCTTCATACTCTTACACAACTGTCCTTTTTATTTACTGGCCTCCATGCAGGAGAGTTTCTCCTCTGCTCCAAACACACAAACATACAACTTCCTTCACATTCCATCCAAGTCTCTTAACACTGCTTCATATTAATGTAACCTTCAATCCTCAAATTCTATCTCAAATTGTGACATTGCAGTTTCCATTTCAGAAATCTGTTGGCAATTCACCCTGTTTTTCTCCTCTTCTGCATTTTCCTTACCTGTTCAATTAATACACTTTCTACCTGGAAAAAAGAATATTCCCTTTTGCCATATATGCTTTTCAATTACATTTATCACATTACAATATCACTTCTGATATAGGTTATCGCTAGCAAGCTACCAAGTAGAGTTGTAAAAATGGATTTGTTCACTCTCATCAGCCAATTATATAGTTACATACAAGCCACATTGATTCAAGGAAAATTGACTATTTGGCTTAGCATATAACATTTTCAGATATAACAGCTGGCCACAATAGTATTTAAAGCCAATCAAAACCTTTAAAGAGAACCCCAATATAGCTTTTTTTCCTCTCAGTCTTTTGCTGCATCTCTTTCTAATATAGTTGCGTCTGTTGCCTACAGAAGTACTGGCAAGACACTAATCAATTTATGAGAATCTTATGATCATCAAGAATGACTGACTACCAATACCCAAAACCAGCAGGTTGCACAGAGTGCAATTATGATTGATATATATCCTCTGGTTCCTGCCCTGGTAATTTGGTATGGCAGCATACATAACTTCACATTATTCAAATCTTCAATTACAAATGAACTAATTTTTGTTTGAGATGGCCATTATGATACAATGAGCAAACTTAATGTTTTTATTTCATTGAGTATAGGCTTACATACACACACACACACGGCATACTCCCACATACTCCAGAAGAAAGGTGATTTTGCACAAAAGCTAATTAAACTTTACATTAATTTCACTGAATTAAGTATATGATTCACAATATCATGGCATTATGAAATTAATGTTTTATTAAGCCATTTACTAGTGTAATCCTTTTAAATGCTAGGCTAAAAACAATTATAACTGCATTTCTCACAGTGCCCCCAACACCCTTAGGCAATTTTCCTTGTTTGGTTCAGTTACCATGTCCTACTGTAAAAACAAAAAATTCCCATTTATTGCAATATTGCACAGGTCTACAGACGAAAATATAAATTAAAACTATTTTTAACACTATATTTAACACTATTAACTGGTAAGCAATATTATCCCAGAAACAAGTAAGAATAACTATTTACTGGATGATTACATTTATAAAACTAAATTAATATGCAGCAAGGCATTGCTCCCTAACGGTATGCTGTATTATTCCTGATACAATAAAGTTTTTGAGTCAAACCACCTATTGCTTAAGCAATTCTTTTCCTTCAAGTTTAAAATAGCTGTAACAAATCCCACTAAACTTCTACATGATATAGTTGATCTGAATTTACATTTTAATCCTAAATGTTCGTATATATCAAAACATTAAATGTTTTCCTACAATATTCAGTAGCATCCAGATGGTTTACCATTGTTTGCAGCTACTCTATAGTGAATACCTGGGATGCTATCCCTATTAATTGTTAGGGTAAAAATGCTAAAGGAAATGCTACACATACTCATCTTACCATTAATAATGCCAGCACTTAAATATCTTTTTTGCTTGTTTGTTTGCTTTGTTCTGTTTTTACACATGGTGGTAACAAAGTCTCCAAGACTCACTTTCTCTGGAAAGCTCCCTACAATAGGATCAGATAGTCTTCTAACTTTTATACATACAGAAAAATAGCTATTTGATTACACTTCAATGCTGCATTTATCACTACGGTAGATGACAACATAGTGAAAAATGTGAAGTATGAGCTGTCCCTGAGTAGTGCAGATATGTTATGCACTACCCAAATTTTCTTTTCTTCCCTCTATTAAAAAAAAAGAAAGGAGAAAAAAGGTCACAATAGAACAAGACAGTCACAAAAGCAAAGCATCAGAAGAAAAACAATGCCAGCTCTATTACTCTATTTGTTAAAACAAAGACATGGTGCAAGTAGCAACAGTTAATACTAAAACTTCCATTTCTGCTATGGAATTTCTAAAGCCTATGTTCAGAAAGATTACTGCACTCTGCCCATGAGAAGCATGCAGACATCCAATGTGAAAAGAGCCTCTTTAGTGTTGGCAAGAGATCCATCACTCCTCAGCAAATGCAATTTGGCTGTAAATCCCTTGTTATAATGTCTCTTCAACAGACAACCAGATTTAATGAAATTAAAAGCTCTTCATCTTATAATGTTCAACACATTTATTATGTAAAGAAAAAAAAAGGGGGGAAGTATTACCTCTTTTCAATGCTAGGTTTCAAGTGATAAAGATTCCTGTCTATAGCCTCACAAAAAACAACAGGGACGCAATGTTTTCACAAATTAATTTTTGGAGGCGGTTAGTTATTATGCAGCAGTAGCTAGCACTAAATGCTTAACATGTATGTGGCCCCTTAGAGAAAAAGGTACAGATTTCCTTATTCTGCAGCAGCAGAACTCAAAACGGCTGTTTTTTTTACCCTGCTCACCTGAGTCAATACATGCACACAGTACTGACCAATGCAAGTGCTCAACATCCTGGGAGGGTATCCTATGATATTTTGTCCTGTGAGGCTCTATAAATGTTTGGAATTTTTTAAGATTATACAAGCTGTGATACCACTCAGAAACCACGAGAATTAAACAGCTTAACACTTCCCCCCCACCTGCATCTCAGGAGTTTTTATTTACTCACTATCCATTTAAACTTGCTCTCAACAGGAATGAACTAATATAGCTTAACTGTGTGGCCCTGAAGGTTACCTCGAAGTCTGGTGCTTTCAAGCTTTCCATCAGATAGACACATCTGAGGGCTCTGACAGCCACCCATGAAAATTTGAATGGAAGGAGGAAATTTAAATTGAGGCCACGTAGGTCTTCTTGGAGTTCCTTATCTCAGCATCATGTTATTACTGCTCTCAAAAAAACAGTGTCCTGAAGAAGGGGATAGACTTGCAGACTTAATGACTAACAGTGGCATAAAAATAGCAGACTAACCCAAGACACTGTTTTGGAGCAGTGCAGAGAGGCCCCCAGAGAACTGCAGCTGCCCTGTGCCAGCAGTCCAGGGGTGAAAGTGATGACATGCAGCTTAAAACAGAAGTTTCCCTAGTATCACAGAATCACAGAATCGCTCGGTTGGCAAAGATCTCCGAGATCATCATGTCCAACCATTCCTGTCTACCCCCTAAACCATATCCTTAAGTACCTCATCTACCCGCTCCTTATGACATAAGACATTGAAAAAAATTAACTTCCCAAGCAAAAAGATTAATCTGAAATCCAGAAGCTTCTAGTTTCCCATACTATCTTTCAAAAGAAGTTATCCAGCATGCTGCTAGTTGGTTCATTTATAAAATTAACAGCACGGTGTGGACCTCAGTTATTTTATTATTCTTTTATGTTAGTGTGAATCCTTCAGAATGCTTGGGAAAATGATCAAGCAGCCCAAGAGCTCCCAGTGGTAACAAACGCAACCACCAAGCACTGAACAAATATGAGAAAACAAGATTACAAAAACACTCCCTAAAGTATAATTTTAATATAGCAGTCAACATCCCAATGCCATTTATGCCATTTATTAATTCCTAGTTTATAAAATACTTAATGCTGAAAAAACGTCACCTTAAATGAAATTTAAAATATTTCACTTTGATTTTAGAAGAGAAATAAGACCTGGTGCTTGTTACAGAAGAATAAACCTAACTACTATAGAGTCTTGCTCTCTGCCTTTGCAGCTTTCAAGAGAAGGCATTCAAGTTTCCAGGTATGGTTTGTCTTCCCAGGGATCATGATTAAAGCCAGATTTCACCTCAGAATGTACTTACAGTCAAATTATTTATTTGTCAAGAACAATTAACATTAAAAGAAAATTACTATTTTTCTCTGAGAATATCTTAAAAGTAAGGTGTACAATACTGCTCTCTCAACACCAACAAAGACATTCCTTCTGTGATTCAAAGAGAACAGTGAAAAAACACAAATTCATAATGTGACTTCTTAATTTCACTCACTGCCTTTCAAAACAACATTTCAAAGATCACTGTATTTGAACAGAA